ACGCCTACTAGTACAATTATCATTACATAATTACTTTTGTTACATTATTTGCATGAGGCTCAAGCAGAGTTAGAATTTTCTTAAGGAATCCTCTTTAAAAAGAGTCACCTGCCTGAGGGAATGTGGTTTTGTGTTGAATGAGTGAGATGGAGAGGTAGCAAGTATAAAAACTGAATAGCGCTGACTCTGTTACCTTGTTTTAAACTGATAGTTCACCCAAAAACTAGGATGGGGCTACCTTTATAAACTATGCCAGATGAGGGGAGTGGTTGAAACTTGTTTGAAAACAGTCAGTTCAGTTTGGTGCCACTAATGCGGTTTGGTTCAATGTAGCTCAAATAGTCACAATATCTTTACTTTTTACTAACTTTCAGATAATCACACAAGTAAGATTGAAGTTTACAGTTTTTATGTACATGCTGATGTTTATGGTAGCATCCGAAGATAAGTAAATCACCTATTGAAAACATTTTTTTTTAGGCTGGTTGATTTTGATTTCACTGTGTTGTATTTACATTAGACAAAGATTATATTAGGTAATGAGTTAGGCCACTCAAGACTTTTCCAAGTTTGCAAAATGCTCATTTTCAGATGTTGGTCTGACAGGCTCACGCTTTTAAACAAATAGAATGGCTGTGCATCTAGCTGTAGTCGTTAACCATTATATAGGTGCCAATATGAACAAAATAAATTGTTTATTAAAACGTGTTTAACAATCATAACATCAAATTCAATAAAAAATGTACCACATCATATCATCACATCAATGTTTCAATACTGTTTTTCCCCAGTGACGTCTAGTCCATGCTATACATGTTTGTAAATTATCTTGGGTAGTTTCGAACAAATAGACAAACTGAACTTGTAGGCCTACTAAACTAATCCTCATGTGTTTGTGCTTTACAGGAGGAGAAGACACAGCGGCTGGTCAGATGCTACTCTGAGGCCATGCACCAGCAGATGGACGCAGGGACACAGACAGACCCTGTGGTGGTCCTGTCACTGGCCCAAGCTGCTGTGTTGGGACTCATCTCCCAGAATGAGGTCTTTGGCGCCACCATCGCCCCCAACGGCTTTTACACCGGAGACCCCAAAGAATCCCCCGCTCCGCCAGGTGAGAGAATGGACTACGAGTATGCCGACCAGCTTATAGGCGCCAACGGTGACTATCTTGGGGAGAATTTGGGCGAGGATGGGCACATGCATTCCAGCTGTGCTGAGAGAAGGTGGCAGGGTCAACCCGAGAACAGCAAACCCCCTATAGGGCACCAAGACATGGCATCGCACGTTAAAGGAGAGGCCGTGACTCCAGGTTTGCCCTCCTGCACTCACATGATGAATGACATGGTGCCCAGAGAAGGCATGCAAATGGTCGACCCCTCCAGTTACAGGGTCCTGCCCAAAGCCCAACCCAACAACTGCAGCTCCACCTGTTTCCGAGACCCCAAGACTACGCATCCCACACCCGATCCACATTTACACCCTCATTCCCATGGCCACAGCCACGCACCTCATGAGGTACCTTCACGCAACAGGGGCCACACACATGAAAAAGGAGTAGATGAGGTAACCGAGGACAGGGTCAATGGGAGAAACGGCATGGTGAAAGCAGGAACCGGCGGCGAGGAAATTAGCAGCTACTTTCAGCCGAGCGAGGTCGCCTATGAAGGTGGCGAGATGGAAGGGGTTGGAGACTTCGATGAGAACAGCGAGGGGATGTTCTGGACAGAGCCAGTAGAAGGAGAGGCACCCCGCGGCCGCCGTATCGACCGACTGGATATCAACATCCAGATCAACGAGTCATACTGCGTGGATGTCGGCGAGGGCCTGAAGCGCTGGAAGTGCCGCATGTGCGAGAAGTCGTACACTTCCAAGTACAATCTGGTCACGCACATCCTGGGCCACAATGGCATCAAGCCACACGCGTGTCCACACTGCGGCAAACTCTTCAAGCAGCCCAGCCACCTACAGACGCACCTGCTGACGCATCAGGGCACACGGCCACACAAGTGCACAGTGTGCAAGAAGGGCTTCACCCAGACCAGCCACCTGAAGCGGCACATGCTGCAGCACACCGACGTTAAGCCCTACAGTTGCCGTTTTTGTCGCCGCGGCTTCGCATACCCCAGTGAACTCCGTGCTCACGAGGTAAAGCACGAACGAGGTCGCTGCCACGTTTGCTCGCAGTGCGGCATGGAGTTTCCCACATATGCCCACCTGAAGCGTCATCAGGTGAGCCACCAAGGACCATCCACCTTCCAGTGTAGCCAATGCAACAAGTCGTTCGCCTACCGCAGCCAGCTGCAGAATCACCTGCTGAAGCACCAAACGCAGCGCTCTTTCTCCTGCAGTCAGTGTGGCCTGCAGTTTCTTCAGCTTCATCAGCTACGCCAACACTCCCTCACACACAAGACAAACAAGCCTCAGGCCCGTGCTACCAAGGTACAGAGAGTTATAGTGTGCTTTTGAACATCTGTGTATGTTTGCTGTTGTTTGCTATGGTGAGGTCACATCCAACATGAATAATGACAGTCTTACAGTTAAATTCATATATTTTATTTCAGTACATTATCAGCAATTGTATTAGATAATACTGCATATTTTTATCGGTTTACAGATTAGATTATCATCAAACAGTAACTTAAAGCAGTGTTTTCGCTAGGTTTTCTGGGGCCCCGTACAGTTTATTGCATTAGGTTTGAGTTTACTTAATGTCAAACTCAACCAAGGATTCTAATTCATTGGTTTAAACTCTTTGAACTCTGTTGTCTAACATTTTTCATCTAATCAGCAGATTCCAGAAATCCTCCTTTTTTTATTATTATTTTAAAAGAAATATCTATCTTAAATACTGTACAATATAATGTTGTATATTCAGTTCAAAACTCCCAGCCATTTTTCTGTAAACGAACAACCATTGTAGCATATGATCTATGTAGCCTGCATTAGTATTAAACACTGCAGTATAGCATTTCAGCCAATAACATACAATTTCATAGACATGCTAATGGTTTACACTAATTATCTACTGCAGATTAAAAATTCTAATTAATTTCAAATGTACTATTTCTTCACTTGTTGTTTGTGCTTGTTTTTTTACCAGGGAACAAAGGGGTTTAAGTGTGATGTATGTGCCCGAGAGTTTACATTGTCTGCAAACCTAAAGAGGCACATGTTAATCCACGCCAGTGTCCGGCCATTCCAGTGTCATGTGTGCTTCAAATCTTTTGTCCAGAAACAGACCCTTAAAACTCACATGATCGTACACCTGCCTGTGAAACCCTTCAAGTGCAAGGTAAAACTTCAAACATTTATCACACATCTCTATGCGACACTTTCACCATCAGGGTGGTAAATCTCTTTTGATTTGTTTTCAACAGGTGTGCGGAAAGTCATTTAACCGAATGTACAACCTTCTGGGCCATATGCACCTCCATGCAGGCAGTAAACCCTTCAAGTGTGCATACTGCTCGAGTAAATTTAACCTCAAGGGAAATCTTAGCAGGCACATGAAGGTCAAACATGGAATGGATGTCTCTCCAGATGGGCAAGGTGAGAAGAATCTAACAGTATCTAATTGACATCCTCTAATGAGGCAGTAAAACCTTTAATTGTATATCTTTTATTAATTAATTATTTTTGATACAGATGGCCCACCAGACATGGAGCCCCATGAGGACTATGAGGATGAGAACTTCAGTTTTACAGCACCAGAGAATATGGAAAATAATGATGCGCCAAACCTAACTAAGCTCTCTGAGGTGGCCATCCAGGAACTTGACTATTATAACTTTGGGAAGGATGTGGGAAACTACAGTACAGCATAAAAAACTGTTTTTTCAGTCAGTCAAGCTGAATAAATTAAGTAACAAATGGCCTGTGCTGGCACTTGTCAACCATGAGTTGATTGAGATGTTCCTCCATGAGAACCACTGCTCACCTTTTTGCAGTTGTTAATGAGCAGGTAGTTGGAGGCCACCTTGACCTCCTGGGGTTGATCTCATGGGGTAGGGCACTCCAGATCTGTCTCTAACGAAACGGACCGATAGTTTTTCAAAGAGTCCTTTGACTCCTTCCAGCTCAAACAAACATTGATGCTGTATTTTTAGCATGTTGTGGATCACATTGTTACGTTAATACCCAATACATTAGCATCATAAAATGCAGGTGCATACACATGCAGTCTTGTGTTAAGTAATACACGCCATCCTCCAAATATAATTTTGGTTGGGAATATGGGAATAGCAGGTGCATGCAGCCTTGTGGCCTTCATCGGTTTGGTACCTCAGAGCAGTCTTTTAACTTATTTTCATTTATACTGCCTTCACTTACAGTATCTCTTAGAAAAACACAAAAAGACTCTTAGTGTAAAAAAAACAAACATGCAAGGCCCATGTAAATGGTTGGAAATCTGCTTGAGAGGCTGGTGTGGGTTATTTTTTTTTAATAAATAAAGAGTGAGTGTGTGCCTGGGCCCGGTGTAAGCTACTGCTCTTCGTCTGGTACAGGACCATATGCTGCCCATTCCTGAGCACCACTACTGTTGCCAGAACTAAGCTTCATCTAAAGTTTGGTTTAACAACCTCTGAGTGGAGAATTACTGTTCCGTTGTATTGATTTGCTATTTATTTTGCACTTTGAAAAAGCCAATTAATTACTTATGATGAGCCTATTTCATCACTGACTGTTTGAGTTCTGGTATAACTAAAAGAGATAAAGCCTGTGTGTGTCACATTCATAGTAAGTTAAATAAACTTGTTTTTTGAAGTTATTTTTTTGTAAGTATTTGTATTGAAATGAATAATTGACTAGACAATGTACTCAACTGACTTTTAGATTAGACTATAAACTTGGTTTGTTAAGTGAATTTAGGATAAGCATGTTATAAAAACACAATCTAGGTCCAGTTACTGTATCGTCAAATGGCATTATCTGAAAGAAAAAATATGACTAAGATAAGATTATTCAAGAGTTTATATTTTCTTTAATATTACATTTAATGTTACAGGAACAAAAACAAACAGCATATTTTATATAAAACAACCATACAAGCAAATGCTGTTGTGTGTACAAAAAAGGGAAAAAAGAGGGAAGCAGAAAACCAACAAATCAAATCAACAAACAGATAAAGAATTTGATATTTTTTAGTTGATGAAACTGTCAGTAAATATGTGCAGCCTCCCACTTGAATTGCCTCCAAGCAGAGTGTTCCTGCTTGGGTGGAATGCCGTGATGGAGCACACTGTGGTCAGGTGGTCCATGTTTCGAAAAGTGTGAAGGCGGCGACCGCTCTCGTGATATACCTGAATTCGGCGAGGCCTGTCCACGCTGCCAATCACAAAACAGTCCTGCTGCTTGGGGTCCCACACTGCACTTAGCTTGGACAACCACCGACCCGTCTGCATGTTGTGCCTACATAGAAAATATTTAGCGTGCTGTTACAATGGGCAGCTCTAATAAAAGTTATTGGACAAAAATGGCTTAACCAAAACTTTTGGAAAAGGCCAGATGTGTGTTTGCATAAATTCAACATTATGGCATCTGTTTTCATCCGCCTTGTGGGCCATCGTTTTACATATGTTGTTTGACCATTTTTGCAGCTATTTTCACATTAAGTAATTCTTTTGATTTATAAACAGGTCTGTATCATGATGTTTGTAAAGATACACCACAGTTCAAAAGTTTGGAGTAGGCAAGATTTCTTCTCTTATGCTCACCAAGTCAAAAATTCAATTAAAACAGTAATATTGTGAAATAGTATTATAACTTAATTTTTTTTAATTTTAATACATTTTAAAACTTAAGTTATTCTTGTGAGGGCAAAGCTGACATTTCAGCAGCCATTACTTAAGTCTTCAGCATCCCACGATCCTTCAAAAATGATTCTAATATGCTGATTTGCTGCTCAAGATACATTTCTTATTATCAATGCTGAAAACAGTTGTGCTGCATAATATTTTTGTGTAAAGGGACACTTTTTTTTCAAGATTCTTTGATCAATGGAAACTTCAAAAGAACTGATGATTGTCATGATAGAGATAATTTTTTACACATATGATAACACCCATACTTACGTAATTGATTTTAGTACAGGAGATCTGCCCTCCATTAGGGAAGTGTCAAACACCCTGAAACAAAACCACAAAAAGGCTAATAAAACATTTGTAATACAAATTATAATGCATTTCCAATTCTTTAGGCTTCAGAATCCCCGCAACCCTACAGAGAATAAACGGTTTGGGAAATGGATTGCAATTCCAATTCTTGTAAGACAATGGAAGACAACTTTATAACTTTTTAGTAGCTAAAAAGAAAAAAGAAAAGAAAAACAAAGCCAACACAAACTATTCTGGCTTAAAATATGGTCATAGCCAATGATGCTCTGGCACCCTCTACTGGTACATTTGCAAGAGAGAATGGAGGGACATTGTAGATTCAATATAAGCACTTCTAGCAGTAACATTTGCGATCACCTGATCGTGTTGTCCATACAAGTGGTCAGAACTCTGTTGCCTGTGAGTGGGGAGAAAAAGGCACTGGAGACACTGCGGCTGTGACCGTTGAGTTCACCAACTGCTAGATTGTTTCTTCTTTTCAGATGGCGCAAGTCATATATGTTCACAAATCTAAAAAAAGAAAGAAAATAAACAATATGCTTCAGCCTGCAGGGTATGTAATCATTAGCTGCGTTTCCATCCACCTATTTTTATGCGCATTTTGGAATATCGCATTAAAGAGCAGGTCATATGGGTTTTTGAAAAATATCTCTTCTGCAGTTTATAACGTAGCTATCCTTAAATGAAAACAATATGCAAAGCTGTTAATCAAAAAAGTGCATGATAAATAAAGATATTGTCTCTCAAAAGAGAGAGTCGATTCTGAATCGCCTAAACGAGTCGTCATATTTTCGAATCTTTTGCCTGTTACCGGTATACGTCACTGGGTAACACATTTGCACAATCCCCACCTGCCCACGAAATACGAACAGAGTCTGACCTGCCCACAAACACTTCCGCTAGTTAGTGTGTTTACATCATGTTGAGAAGACGCTGTGTTCAAGATACCACATCATTGGCAAGACACCACCATAATCTTGGCTTTTATCTTTGTTGGCTTCTAATCTTCTTAATTTGGACTAACAAGCTCTCCGAACCACAAATTGTAAGTATGATTGATACGTTGTGTGTACATTTTCAATTGAGTGCTCAAAATATCAAGTTTTTCTGCTAAAATGTGATGTATACCTAGTGCAGCTTTAGGTTTCCAGGTAAAGCATGATATTCTGTCCTACTGAAGTAGTTCTGATAATTCGCTGTGAACCCACTATTTCCTAAGAATGTGTCGATTAATGAAGACTGACGTTGTTCAGATTTCTTAATTTAATAATAAATAATGTAGTGTAGCACACAAGACTTTATAATCATTGTGAAATTGCTGTTTATTTTGATGCACCGGCAGCTATAGGGTTAATGCAGGAGTTAAGCCAGAGCGTCTTTTGTCTGTCGTTCTTCAAACATTACAGTAGACATATTTTGCTTTTACAAACTGTATTGTTTCATCAGTTAGTCACATTAGCACTTGGCTAACGTATCCACCATTATTGTTTTATTTTTTAGCATTAATATTTTTAATGCTAAAAAATATTTAGCATTAAATATTTAATGCTAAATATTTTTTTTATAGGTTAATAATCAGGGTCTGCACTCAGTTTGCGATATTCCTGTTATACAGTATTTCAGAGTAAACAGTACGGATGCAACAATACAGTTAGCCCACGGTTCAAAAATTTTTATATTGAAATAATGAAGATTTCTGTGCCACCCCAGACTGGTTGCTGGCCCCTCCCTGGCCACCCCTATAAAAACATCCTTGCTCCGCCAGTTGGCAGGTCTGCAGTTTAGCAGCTAAACTTTAGCTGTGGGCACGATTCGCTTGCATAAGTGTTTTTGTATTTTATGTAATTATTATAAGAACGGATTTGAGCACTATATTATTGTTTTATGTAAAGGTGCTTTGTCAATGTTAGCGCTCGCTAACTTGCTCAAGGACTCCTCTCTGTGCCAATCACAACAGGCTTGGCCAGCTGACCAATCAGAGCAGAGTAGGCTTATGGAAGGGAGGGGTTTGCTCCGAACTTGCTTGGAACGAATCGTTTCGAAATCATTGGCAAATGACTCTAATATTAAATGTATATTCTGAGAAAATTACAATGTTTTGTGACCTTAGATGCATTTAAACCAGTTGTGGGGGACTCCAACACAATATCAGGACACTTTAAAATACCATATGACCTGCTCTTTAAAAAAACGCTGGATGGAAATGCCAAGATGCGCATACATTCTAAAAATGCGCATAAAAAAACGTATGTGCACATTTGAGTAGGATAAACTTTTTATCCGATAAGAAAAAATGCGCATAAACTATGATGGAAACACATTTATCGAATAAATTCCTCCATGCGCATCGAAAAAGTCACGTGACATTCCGCTATGAGACGGGATAACTTGACTAGCAGTGGACCGATCTCGTTCACAGCATCTATATGTTGTTATGGTCATTCTGAAATGCCTGAGGAAAGTCTGACGATATAAGCTTAATATATTTAAAAATTACGTTTATATATAATAAAATTATGTTTTGCGCATAAGTTTAATTCAAATATTTGGATGGAAACATAGCTATTTACTCAGCAACTTGTGGAACATCATATTGATAATTATTTGGTGAAAATGAACTTTTTCAACCAGCATTATTCTAGTTAAGAAGTGTTATATAATACCTGCTCTCTGCCACTACAAAGTAGTGCTGTTGCACAGGATGGACATGAACACAGCGCAGAGGATTTGCAGCCATGGTATACAGAGATTCATATATTTTCCTGCAATCACATGTTTTCTTTATCATTTATGATGTAAATATATATGAAGAGTTAATTTTCAAAAACAGATAACTCTGTTTTTAACAATTTTCAAAAACCGTGTTTTTTCATTGTGCATTCCAATTAATCTCAATCAAACTGCAGTTGGGTTATTTTGATTAGGTAAAAAATAACTAAAACAAATACAGCTAACTAACACAATAAAACACAATAAAAACATGATAACATAATAAAAAACATGATTTTTGAAAAAAATAAATAAATAAAGAGTTATGTTTTTGCAAATAAACTCTTCATATATAAATATATTAGATATAGATATTTAAATATATAGATATTTTGGTCTTACTCAGTTCTACGGTCAACGACGGCAACATCACCATTCCATTCACCAAGTAGTAAACTGGAGCAGTCAGCTGACAAAAAGTCAAAACTTTTCAGGCCAGAGGATGAGTGATACACCTGAGTACAAAAGAGAGGTGTTAATTGTAAAATGTGTTGAAGGTTGTACATCTGTAAGTTGGCACCAAGAAATTGGATTAGAAACCTGATATTTAATGGTACGGGGATTTACTAGTAATGCAACAAATTCGTTTTTTTAAATGATTCCAATATTTACAAAAATACTGATTCCATTACCGATATTTCCAAAAATGTAGATATTTTGCCTCTTCTCTATTTTTCATTCTTGTTGCCAATATGTAATTTTTTCATTTATACACTACCATTTATTTTTTTTATGTTTTTGAAAGAAATCTTTCTTGCTCACCAAGTGCTCAGGAAACATTCCTTATTATAAAATATAAATGTTGCCGTTTAATATTTTTGAGGAAACTAATACATGAGGATTCTATGATGAAAAGAAAATGTACAAAAAAAACTGCATTTATTTGTAATATAAATCTTTTGTAAAATGCATTTACTGCAATTTTTTGCTTTTTGACAATTTAAAGCATTCTTGCTAAATGAAAGTATCAGTTAAAAAAAAAAAACTATTAAAAATACTGACCCAACCTTTTGAACTGTATATTCACAGGCAATTTAAAAGTTTCAGTTAGATAAAACCAATTGATCTTTAAATGTCCTTGTCCAAATTGAATTCACGTTAATCAGAATACATGACGTGCAACATGTATTTTAATCCTTCAAATACTCAGTCACACGGTGTCATGTATATGTGGATAGAAAGACTAGCTTCACCATGTAAAAAGCTGCTAAATTTCAATTATAACATTAGGAAATGAGTACATAATATGTCTTATCATCAATAAACATGTATGACCAATGTTTCACCTCATCAAACACTGCTTTCTCCAGGTCCATGCTGCGTACAGAGCCATCATAGCTCACTGTGATGAGGTTGCAAGGGCGAGATGAGAAGGCCATGCTGGTAATTGCACGAGAATGGGGTTCAAAGTAGATTACACCATCATCACCCCAACTAGCATCCTGAGGGAAACACAGTTAACATTGTACTATAATACTGCAATACTGTACTGTAATATTGCAAGCAAAGCGGAGAAAATCTGGAATAGCCATTAGTCACTTTATCACATTGCCACATTTCAACTTTCACAAACAGCTCTCATTTTTATCACACCAGACCACAGTTATCTCACCGGCTTCCAGAGCCCGAGGTGGCCCGACTTGTCTCCTGCTGCCATAAGCAAGTCGGAAGAGGTGGGGTGAAAAGCGGCTGAACAGATCCGATCTTTCACAACTTTCACCACACAACTGTCATTGATAGATAATTTCTGCAGCATTTGTTGGTACCTGACAACAAATTTGTTGACACATTATATGCAATATATGACATTCTCATTACACAAGTGAGGAAAATGGCTACTAATTAGTACAAGATGAAACCTTATCTGAAACTGATACAAGAGACACCAAAATGACGTATAGGTAAACACTCTCTTTATGACACGTTACTCACGATATCAAATCTGATGTTCCTGCTTCTTGTTTTAATGGGGCCTACAGAAGACATCATACAGATTCGGGTGATGCACAAGTTTTTTGGAATATGACCAAATTCTAAAAAAAATACAGGATGCTACATGTTTTTGTGCATGTAAACATTGACCTCATTCCAGAGTTTTACCAAATCTTCTGGCAGCCTGACATGTTCATCCAGGTTGATTGGATCGAGTGGTATCGGTCCTGGGGCTTTTTTTGTTTTTTCTTCCTGAAGTAAGACATTAGTTTAATTTCAGATTAAATCATTTTGTAGTGTTTCATCAAAATTGTGTTTAAGTTTAACATTGAACACTATAGATGCATGTCAGTGACTTACAGGCTCTCTGGCTGCATAAGAGGTTGTGTCTAGAGTAAGGGTTGTCTGAGGACCCTTATTCTGTAACCGCAGTGACTTGCGAACAGGGAGCATCTCTGATTCTGTCTTTTCCCTACAATAATTGACTTTCTTTAGTTAGTGAGATGGTGGGGTGTTTGACCTCTGACCATTAAGAACACTTAAATAATATCAGCAATATATCTGCTACTGTATTTATGCTATTACGGTATATTTAAATACATATTCCTTATTTATTTATTGCATACGTTTTCATTTGTGCCATTTTGAATAGTTCCTATTTAAAGATACCTTTTCAGGCCTTTCTGAGTAGGTTTCGGCTTGGGTCTCAGAGCTTCAGAAATCTGCGAACAAGTACAAATTATGGTCATAAAGTCAAGCAAGTTTAATGTGGAAAAACAGCTAAAAGCCAGAAACAAAAGTAATTAAAAAACGACTCTCCTGCCTCACTGCAAAGATTTACCTGAGGTAAATTCAGGGTATTGAGGAAGGCCTGGTTCTGTCTGATATTCTCCAGTCGCTCTAGCTCATATTCAGACAAACCCTCACGGTAACCCTGTTTAAGATGACAAAAAAAGGTGGATTCTGCCATTCAGGTGGAAAGTTAACATTTTGAGGTGATGATGCAGTGTTTGCACTTACTGGAAGAGATTCCTTATCATCCTTTACTTCTGCCTCTTCAATATCTTCTTCTTCCTCACTGTCATTTTTCTAAAGGTAATATGTAATAGTTAATATACACGCTTATAAATAGAGTTATAACTAAAATGTTCCATAAGAGACGTCGTTTCACCTCAGAAGTAAATGTCAGACATTTTGGGGATAAAATTTGGTTCTTTTCTTGGTTTTGTTTCTCTCTGATTCGCCGGGACGTCCGACGCACGGGCCCGTCCATTCCTGGATCCTGAGGTGGTGTCCTCTCCTAAAAATGACAAGTTTTAGATTCAAAAAAGAATTGTACACGTTAACTACCTGCAGTGTTTCTGAGCGCTGTGTCCGACAGGGGCGCTAATCACTGCTTTGAACTGCAAGGAGTGTCTTTGAACACTTAATACTTTAACGATAAAACATACAAACACTAAATTACTGACCGAATCGGTTTATCTTCGACGGTTACAGTGATTAATTTTATTTTCTTTCAAAAATAAAGTTCTTCGCTGTTGTTCTGTGCCCCAATATTAAATCCAAAGAGCAGGTAAACCAGTTTTAATATTCTCATCTCGTCGTCAGGAGAGACAACATGCAGATGGAGCAGGAGATATTTACTTAACGTTAGTCGTAATTATGTCTGTATCATAGCGGACCTAAACAAGTTAAACAAGCGTAAAATGTAAAGCCATACGTGTGAATCACTTCAAACGCATGCAAACTACCATACAGGGCGATAAATAAACGGTCATAACATATATATATATAACGTTATATATATACACAAACATATATGTTTGTGCAGATCATGTCAAGATACTTAACTAGTTATGAGCACGTGTTGTATTTCTATAAAGTGTGGAAGTGAGAAACGTTCAGTAAGAAACGAGAAACGAGCTCACCTGTAATAGTTGCATCGTCTTTAAACTTAAATCAATTTTATTTTCATCCATGTCTATGCAGGTGAGGTTATTCAACACACTTCCTTTGAAAACAAGCTGTTATGAAAACTCCCGCGTTACTGATCCGTTTTGTAACTGTCCCCGCCCGTTTTGTTATGACACTAATAAAGTGGAAGTTGATTTGCTCATCTCTGAAGACCTTGTTTAATATTCATTATTTGGGAGGTGTTTTAATGCGCACTCATGACGTTTCATGTTTGGGTAATAATGTAACCCTTTCCTTTAAATAACCAGTGCACGTGACGTACACTAAACGAACACGTCGTTTAAGCTTTAAATGTAATTAATTTGTCATTTAAAGCTATTTTAGACGAATCAAATGTTAATTATGTATATATATACATTCTTTGAACTGAATCACTTCTAACGTTTTATCAACCCTTATGCCTTCTGTATCATGGTGATAGACATTTAAAAAGCTTGTAAAATGGCTTAATTCCTGAGAAAAAGGGGTCCTGCAAATAAAAAACTCAGACTGAATATTTGAATGATTTTTAAAAATCGTAAATGACTCATAAATACTATAATGCTATAAATTAATACTATAATCAATGTTCATTTTAATAAATTGTAAATAAAGAAATACATACATACATACATACATACGTTTAAGCTTTAAATGTAATTAATTTGTAATTTAAAGCTATTTTAGACGAATCAAATGTTAATTATGTATATATATACATTATTTGAACTGAATCACTTCTAACGTTTTATTAACCCTTATGCCTTCTGTATCATGGTGATAGACATTTAAAAAGCTTGTAAAATGGCTTAATTCCTGAGAAAAAGGGGTCCTGCAAATAAGCCAACTCAGACACTGAATATTTGAATGATTTTTAAAAATCGTAAATGACTCATAAATACTATAATGCTATAAATTAATACTATAATCAATGTTCATTTTAATAAATTGTAAATAAAGAAATACATACATACATACATACATACTTTAAATTAAAAATAACTATAATCTGTCTAAAAAGTAAACGTCTCGCCAAACCCAAACGTATTCCTGTTGCATTCAGAATTCGAAATAGCATAATATTATCACACTGCTGCGGTTAGGATGAACCACTACCAGCGAAGTGTCCCTCTAGTGGCTGAGAAGTTCATGAGTATAAATACATAACGCAGGAAAGTTAACCGTATTAGGCCTAACATGCGCTAATGCACATTAAAGTCTTCCCTGTGTATTACAATTGCATTTGAAGAGATAAGACAGAAAATAATCTTATATCACAAAAACTCAATTTTGTGTTAACCTCAAAAATGTTATCAGAAGTCCCTGTGTGGCTTTTAGTTTTAATGGTAGCTATATTTATTATAAATGTCTGTGTTCTAATTTGTTTCATAAGTAAAATAGTGAACTGCATCTTATGATCTTATGAGTAGCTTCACTGTAGCTTAACTGCTTTAAACTGTGACTATTTTAATAGTAGTTGGCCCAACACTGTTGGCAAAACTTTTATCTGTCAACAGCAGAAGTAGTGATGGCCGAAAATGTGTTGCTTTTAGCTTATCTTTGCCTGCAAATGTCGTTCATAATCATATTTGTTACAAATAAACTAATAATAAATGTAAATACTATTAAAACTTGAATTAAAAAAAAGTGATACATTCAGCTTAAAATAAATGAAATCTTTTTCTTCTTCTTTTTTGCTCTTTGCAAGTCAAGAATTTGTAGCTCATGGTTTTTATTAATTAATACATTTTTACAAATTGTCATGTTTCATTTCAAAGAAAAAATGTTCACAAAATCAGCTGGTCTGGCTTTGTCTTTTCATACACTCTCAGAAAAAAAAGTTACAAAAGCCGTCACTGGGGTGGTACCTTTTCAAAAGGGTTCATATTGGTACCTTAGAGGTACAGATTAGTACCTAAAAGGTAAAAAAAAAAACATGTACCTTTCGAAAAGGTAGACCTACCACCCCAGTGACTTGTGCACCTTTTTCTCTGAGAGTGTATAAAACTAAACTGCTGTATAAGGCATAATATAATCACTTGAAAATAAAGCAAGGAATATGAATACTGTACATTTTAACACTTTAATATTTGTGACTGTGATGATGAAAATATATGCTATATAGCTTATCTTAATGTACATTAAGAGCAATAGTTATGGATTTAAATTTTGTAATATCAACTGGTTGGTTTATTTTAAAGACTGTCCTTTTGTGTAGGTGGCGTGATAAACAAAAATTAAAAGGTAGTGTTTTTTTTTAGAAAAATTTTTTTTTACATTTATGTCATTTGATTTATTCATTTAATTTTTTTATTTAACTTATTGCAGTAATGCATCAATAATATGTACATTCCATAACATTTCATAATATAAATAAATACAACAGACAGTAAAATCTCAAACATTTTATGAATAATACAAAGGTAGATAAAAAAAAAAAAAATTTAAATTAAAAATGCTTCTTAAATGGTACTTAAATACATAATTATGTTGTCCTTAAGAGTAAAACAGAATTTAGATGGCAGGTTAATCATTTTTATTAATAGGTGATGACAAAATTTCCCTAAATTTTAAAAATTCTTTAATGCCTTAAATATATATCTATTCACAAAAATTAAATATAAAGTAAAAAAAAAAAAGAGAGAACTAAACTTATATTTAAATATTTTTATTAAAGTGATGAACAGGAGATGACTGATAGTAATGCTGGGAATGTGTGTTCTGTAATCCTGCTCCGGTGCTGAAGATGTTTTAGCATATATCCTATTATCCACATGAGTGATCCTGGTGTCTGATTTGGACGGAACTCTAGGATCAGATAAAGGACAACTGAAGCTTGTTTGCTTTGCATGCGACTTTCACACCATCCAGAGGAACTCAACTAGATAATTGGCCACAAAGCCCACAGAGTAACTGGCTCCCTTTCCCTGACACAGGCATGCGAAGACATCAATAACCATCACTCGCAAAACAACCAGTCAGGCGGAATGACTGCTCATCTCTCGCCAGTCGTTGAGTCCATGTGCCCTTTTTTATGTACTACTTAAATTTGCCAATAAAATCAAAGTATTTCTGGAATTTTATTTGATTTATTATAATTTCTTTTTAAATGAATACATTCATTTCAGATCTCCAAAAATTCCCATTTATATATAACTGCATATAAACCGGCTACAGGCCCGTTTATGTCTTTAAATATCCAAAAAAGCTGCAATTTAAACTGGTTTTCTGCAAATTTCATTAACAACTTTGACTTTTATGGGCATTTATTAACTATGAACTTTTAAGATCATTTAAGTTCATTTTAGAGTTACAACTAAACTAGTGCACCATGTCCTGTGTGCAAAGCATTTGTCTAGTCACTGAGAGATGAGTGTGATTACATTTTTTGGACAGCTGTCTGGCCGCCTCCCTGGTGTGCGTTAAATTGTGTGTGTGTGTGTGTGTGCATCTTTGCGTGTCTATGTTTTGAACCACATATAAGCGTTATATATTTCTTATGTCTTTGACATCCATTATACATGATTGCAAGTGATAAGTTCTTAGTCACACTGAGGGATGATTAGGCTTTTTACTTGTTTTAACTCATCTTAGGCAAAAGCTGTACATTGACTTTGTATTGCCTGGAATGCTACAAACCTGCAATCTCACACCACTTTAGGGCACATGTGTACAATGACAAACACACACACACACACACACACACACAGCCTAATACATCCTGCTGTGGAAATTACATGTGATGTTGATTGCTCAGAGCCAACAGTGCGTGTTACTGCTTGCTAGGAATAGTTCATCAAAAAAATTGCATTTTTGTCATCATTTCATATTTTGAAAAATGTTTCAGTGTTTTTGTCCCCATACGATGAAAGTCACTGGGGTCCGATGTTGCTTTGACCCCAGTGACTTACATAATCTGGACAAAAACAGTTCAAAAATATTATTCAAAATAGTTTATTTTGTGCTCGGCAGTAGAAAGACAGTCATATAGGTTTGGAATGACTTGAAAGAGAGTAAAAATGACAGAATTGTAATTTTTGGACGAACTATCTCTTTAAGGACTGATATTTCAAAGAATTGCATGGAGGAAGTGAGTGTGCATGCGAGATTCCATACAGTAAAACAGAGCAAAAGCTATACTCTTAAAATTGTCCTCCTCTTGGTTTTTTAAACAAACTCTGTCATTATACACATTTCCTATCTCTGAGCATTAAGTGACAAGTGAGGCTGAGTGATTTTGACAGGTGAAAGCCCATAGAAACTACAGCAGGAAGTGTTCTGTCTCTCGTCTGAAGAGGGTGTGTCGCAGCCAGGGAAGCAGAAGAAGAGATAGGCAGACAGGTATGTGAAGACTGGAATGTTCATTTTAGTCACACCTGGGATGAACACACCTACCAAACATGGCCTTTCCCTTTTCATTGGCTGATTTGATCATGACTGACAGCGCAAACAACAAATAAACCCCCTCTTTTCGCCACTGAAGGGGTTTGACCTATGATCCCCAATTGTGAACCAATAGCATGTCAAGGTTGACTTGCAGATAGGTGGGGTGGAGAGGAAATAAAACTCATCTGTGGGGTGTGTCCACAGTGGCATACGTACAGACTGTGAGACTGTGCTCCACCACGCAGACCTCCTGCCTCAAAACTATGATTTGTGGAAGACGGACTTAGACTCATCCTGGTCGAAAGCTACTGGAAAAGTCCCAGATGTCCACCCCGACCTGGTAATCTCAGCTGCAGCTACCTATCATGTCATGAAGACGCATTTGATGTTCCTTTGGCTAAAAGAATAAAGCTGGACAGAGCAGGTGGGAACTTGTGCCGGAGTTTTGTATGGAAGCAGTTGGGAGTTCTCAGTAGGACTGTTGAATGTTTGTTCAAATGGTCGCTCACATCTCATCACTTTTCCAGCCCAGCTAAAGATGGTGAATCTGTTGGACGGAGAACTGATAAGGGCATGTGGCTGACACATACAGCTTTGTGTCCGCTGGGCACTCAGGTCAGGGTGCGTTGCTGATGTGTGGTGAATGCACATTTGTGAATGTCAATGACTTAATAACTGATAGTTGTTAATGTTTAAATCGATATTATTTTTAAACGTTTAGTAAATGATATATGATGT